AGTGTATAAAATGAACCTATCAATGTTCTTGTCCCGTGCTTGTGCATATTATGAAAGCCACATAAAATATTGATATATTTTTATCAACAAGCATATTGTGATAGGTGTTAGAATCAATTAGGGTAGGGGCGTGTGGGGATTTAGTCAAGGTTGTATGCTATGTGTTGGGGTGAGTGATGTATGTGTGTGCCCCTTCCCTATGTGGATTGGGTTAGAAATCCCGCGCTCGTGCATATTATGAAAGCCACATAAAATATTGATATATTTTTATCAACAAGCATATTGTGGTAGGTGTTAGAATCAATTAGGGTAGGGGCGTGTGGGGATTTAGTCAGGGTTGTATGCTATGTGTTGGGGTGAGTGATGTATGTGTGTGCCCCTTCCCTGTGTGGATTGGGTTAGAAAGGAAAGATGATAATAAAATCCCACCAAAATATATAAATAACAATTATGTCCCTCAAAATATCTTAATTCTTCTGAAGTCCCTAGTTACCATTCTGGCATTAATGATTTTAGGTTAAATGACTAAATTGTGTCTTGTTTAAAATAAAAATAACAGGTCTGATTTCATTTTTTTAATTATAACTTTCGTATAAGCAATCACAACTCTTGTTATGTGAATCATAAAAATCAAACAAGAAATCACAACTTCCTACGTAAAATTTCTTTAATGATTGATAGACAAGTTTTGAAAAGAACCAATCCCAATTACAACTTTTGTTTAAGTAATCACAACTTTAATTTTGTGAATCACAAAAATTGAACAGGAAATTACAACTTTTCACATAAAATTTCTTTTATCGTTGAAGTCCAAGTTCTAAAAATAATCGGTTACAACTTTTGTTCAAGCAATCACACTTTTATTATGTAAGTTGCAAGAATTGAATAAAAAATCGCTTGCCACATAAACCCATTATTTTTTATTTTAACAAGGAAAAATTTAGTCATTTAACCTAAATACATTAATGTCAAAAAGGTACCTAAGAACATCAGAGATATTGTGGCATTTTGAGGGATCTGATTATCATTTATATATTTCGGTGAGATTTTATTATTATTTTTCCTAATAAAAAAAAAGGTGTACCCCACTTCAGTGATCTCCCCATCTTATTAAAAAGAATTAATCATAAGACAATTCAACCTATTCAAAAAATTGATTATATATTTCAACCTATTTTGAATAATTAAAAGAATCTCGTTGGAAGCTATTTATTTTAAAAATAGTATTCCTTTTTTTACTTTTTCATTAGACAATTTTTTGGAATGCTTTAATAAAGATTTCATATAATATCAATTGTAAAAAGATAAAAAAAATTAGGGAGAATGATAAATAAAGACCTCATAAAAACATTAACATCAAGTTAGAATCTCTTCGCAATTTAAATTTTTAAATTCAGTAATCATTCTCTCTTGTTTTAGTACTAAAATATTTAAAAAAAATCGATTAAACATTAATTTCTTTTGAGGCCTTTCCTTGTCATTCTCCCATTCTCTTTAAGTATCTTATATGGGGGAATAACTATGTTAAATAACAAATATGATCCATTTACAATGTGGCGCTGGCAAACAGACCTCCGTTTCTCTCTGCCTCTTCGGTACTGATCTCACTCACTAGTTGGATCCTCTCCTGCCTTATCTTTTCTCTCCTTTTTCTTCTTCTCATCACATCCTTATTTTTGGATTAAAAATTTAACAGTTGATATTTAATGTTTAATAAAATTATTATAATAACACAAATAGATAGATAGATAGATCTAAATTGTTAAAATTTGATTTGGGAAATTTACGACTATAAACTAATTTTGTAAAGTATCTTTTTAGTCCTTTAACCCTAACATTGTTAGTTTGAAGTGATTATTTTTTATATCAATCATTGTTATTTTAAAAAAAATTAAATTTAATATGTTAACATTTGAAAATATTTTATCAATATTTGAAAGTTCAATGTAGAAATTTGTTAGAATAAAACTAACAATGTTAGAGTTAAAGGATTAAAAAGACACTTTATAAAGTTAAGGAACTACAATGAAATGTTATGTAAATTAAAAGACTAAATGAATACTTTAGCCTAATTAAAGTAAAAAATAAATTTCATTAAATCTCAATTATTGAATTTTAATTTAAAAGAGAGAATGGGATGAGGAGAAGAAAAGGAGAAAGATAATGAGAGGATAAAGATCCAACTTAGCTTCAAGTTCCTCGTTCTTTTCTTTAAAACATGGGGGAAATTGGAGAGAAGCACCACCCATCAGGTCCAACTAATTGGAAAAAGTCTCATTAAAACATTTCATCTGTCCTTAGTTTTTTGGCGTTAATATTTCCAGAAGCGAAAGATAAAAACGCCTTTTAAATAACTTGATGATGTGTTGGAATTTTTAAGAAAAAGTGTACCATTTTATTTTGAAAATTGACATGTTTCGTTAACTTTTAAAATAAAATGACAGGTTTTCAGGAAAAAAATAATTAACATGAGAGCTTGATGCGCCTAACACTGCGTTTTCAAGAAAAATAATGTATCATTTCATTCTGAAAAATTTACATACTTGGTTAATTTTAAAAATAAGATAACAAATTTTCAGGAAAAAATAATTAATTAATCCAAGAGGCTGATGCGCTTGAATTTGGTTTTTCAAGAAAATATATCATTCTATTATGAAAAATTTACATGCTTGGTTAATTTTCAAAATAGGATGACAAGTTTTTAGGAAAATTTTCCAATAATATTCGAGAGTCTCCAAACATTCTTCAATAGTATGTAATATTCTTCTATTGTCTTGAAAAATAATCTTCCACAATCTGCACGTATCTACAACTGCAACTTTCTTTCATAAGTTTTTGCAATTTTGCAAAAGTCTTTCATCTTTGGCCCTCTTTGAGATTGTTCAAAACTCAATTGTTAGTAATAATCTTCCATTGACCTAAAAAAATCTTCTACAATCTACACATATTTGTAACTTTCTTATACAAATTTGCAAATAACTGCAAAAGTCTTTCATCCTTGGTCCTCTTTTAGAGTTTTGGGAGAATATCCATGAAAGATTCTTAAAACAATATAATATCTAACAAGGATCCTGGATACATCAAATACTTGTTAAAACAATAATTTCATTTGATAATATGTTAATTTTCACTTGTTGGAAATCATTTTCATATATTAAATTCTTTTAGAGATCCTTTATTAATATTACAGCTATAATAGATATGTATGAGGAGGCAATAGCTAGTATAAGAATGTATGACAGTGAAACAAAAGACTTTTCTATAAATATTAGACTATGTCAGGGATCATCTTTAAGACCTTATTTATTTGACCTAGTCCTAGATGTTTTGACTGAGTATACTCAAGAGAAAATCTCCAAATACATGCTTTTCACAACGATATAATTCTTATTGCGGAGACAAAAGAAGAGATTAACTATAAACTTGAGTTATGAAGGACGATATTGAAGTCAAAATGTTTCCACCTAAGTAGGAGTAAGATGAAATATTTGCATTATAATTTTGATAAGAGGTTAGTCAGTAATAATTTAAAAGTAAAATTGGGAGATCAAATTATATCTCAAGTGGATAAGTTTATATATTTAGAAGTTATTATTCATCATGGGGAAATTGGGGATGTTGGACATGGGATATAAGATGGGTGATTTAATTGGAGAAAGAATAAAGGAATTATTTGTAATAGTAAGGTACCTAATAAATTTAAAGGGAAGTTTTATCGAACTGCTCTAAGACGCGCTATGTTATATGGTAATGAATGTTAAGCTTTAATAAGACAACATGAGTATAAGGTTGGGGTAGTAAAGATGAGAATATTGAGATGGATGTGCGGGTATGCATATAAAGATAAAATCTAAAATGAGAATATATAAGAAAAAGTGGGCGTAACACCTATTGAAGGAAAAACAGTAGAAAATCATTTGAGATGGTTTGAATATGTACAAAAAAGATTGTGAGAGGTACTGATAAGGAGAGTGAAATAGATAATTTTAAGCCCTGTTAAGAAAAGTAAAGGGAGGTCAAAGAGAACACTTTTAAAAATTATTGACTAAGACCCTCTTAGTTAATAGCATTCCTAAAAACTTAGTAAATGATAGAGTACAATGGCGTCGTACGATTCATGTATAGCTGACCCCATCTAGTGGGATAAGGTTTGTTGTTATTGTTGCATTCTTCATTAATATTCTCCCATTTTTCCCTTAAATAATATATTTGTGTTGACATGCACGCAATAATAATAACTCCTTGAAGTATTAATTCGATCTTCATTAAAAACCTAAGAGTAATATTGAAAAATTTTGAAAATTTCAAACCGTTAATTAATAAGTTTAATCATAAACAAATAGTTATTATTAATAGGTTATTATAATAAGGATCAAAAGGAGAAATATCCATTTCAATAATTTTGCAAGTAATACAGAGACATCTATCTCGACATTTGAAGAAAAGCTTCACAAGAGGATTGTCCCTTAGAACTTCGTAATGATCATTGCTCTTGCATATCACTATGAGAAAATAATCAATTATCAACGCTTTCAAGATGCTTCTTCAAAGTCAGCTAAGACTTCAAAGTTCACGAACATACATATACCCTACAGGTATATAGACTATGATCATTTATTGCAGAACACAGTGATAATCGATAAGAAATTTACCTGCATTAAGAAAAAAATAATTAGGTAAAAAAAAAAAAAGCGACCCTAGATAAAAGAAAAACTACACAACTTTGCTTCATATCTTACATGATTTTTTAATTAGTGATCTGATTAACATATTTTAAATAGTAGTTATAAATGTAGCAAAATCTACTTAAACAGTTTAAAATGAAAAATGAAAGAACACTAAAAAAAATAAATGTAACAAAATGAAAAAACAAAAAAGTTTCACATCCCCCAAAATTTAAAAAAATATCAAAAAGTGGTAGAAACTACCCTTTGCAATTGAAGTTTTAACCATACCTCATCATTTTCAGCCGATCAGGATTCCAATCAAGATTTGTGGATCTAGAAGTTCACGCCATGCATCCCCAGCTTCTCTTGAGTAATAACATTTAGCTTTTCAATCATGTCAGAGGTGAGAAATTTTTCCCCGTCCCCAACATCTCCACGCCTAAGGTAAATGTTATTCTCTTCCCCAGTCAATAATTTTCCAATCTTATTCAGTTCCAAGTTGCTCAAATTCTCAAAACCACAAAGCTTCATTAGATCATTAATAACATTGCCATTCTCTTCCTCCTCAGTAAATCCATTCCCTATAATTTCAGCCAAGTCCTTCAAAACTCTAACTGGTTTGCTCTTCAACTCCTCATACGTAAAAAACATTACCTTATTTGGCCTCTCCAAACTCTGCTTGTAGTATCCCAAGATGTGATCCCAAAATGGACCACAAGCACTCCTTCCTTCGCAGAATTTCTCAAATGATTCTTCAACTGAACTGGGCTCTTGGGCTTGTGGTAGTAACTTTCCGATGAAGTGCCACAGCGACGTGAACATATCCTTTGGATTTCTACACAAGTACACGATCTTACACATTGACTACTTCACAGATTCTGGCAATGAAATGTATGGCATATGGCTTGCAAAGAGCCTTGGTGATGGGAACAAGCTCAGATCGGGGATGTTTTGATGGATGTAGAGATTGATCTATAAAATGGGTACAAGATCATGAGGGTTTGCAGTGAAGAGAAGGCGAGGGCGAGATTGGTTCTTATCAAGATTTGGATTTGGGTGATGGATCTTGCGATTGAGAATCGCATAGGCCAGGGTTTTGAGCCAAGTGGTGTCAAATTTTGGTAGAGGAACAAGAATTACTCCTTCCATTAAAAAATGTAAGACATTTTTTGAAAAGTTAGATATTTAAAAATATAAGACATTTTTAGTCTTTTGAGGTATAATCATTACCTTTTTTCAAAAGTGCCCCTATTGTTAATGGCTTTATATTTATTATAGGGTGTTTAATAGGGGTAAATATAAAAGATAGGGTTAGTTTGAAAATAAGTAACTACTTTATTAAGGGTGAAATTCGATTAAAAATGCCTTATATTTTTTAACAAAGAGAGTATGTCAAAGTCATGAGCTTTGAAGTGTTTTTGGCTATTAAGGATCCCTTGCATTTGTTTCGTGGTATGCCAGAAACCATTATATTGATGGATGGTAAGTGGTTGCCAAAATGTATCGCAAGGTAAGGTGGCAATGAGTTCCTTGTTTTCCTGGGTAAATTCGACTTTCCGGAGATAATTGGGGAACATTGGAGGGATCAGAGTTTGCCGCCATGGTTATAGTGAGATCCAACACTTGAAATCAATGATGAAGTCATATATATATATATATATATACATGGAAAAATCAAAAGCATGGATATGTTCTACAGTGGCAACGACAGAGGTAATGGAGAGGTGAAGGCGTGGTGCTCAGCCTTAGCGCCAACTCTATCCGTCTATCGTATCTTTATTAATATTGACAACCACGTGGCCTATCGATATTGAAAGAAGGTATGGATTAAATCTAGAATTTTAAATTAAATATAATCATGTTAGAACAAAAGTTGCATAAATGATCGGCAAGACATGGTCACCATGTCGGAAGCGCAATTTCTGAGAATAATGACTGATGACTTTAAATATTAAAGGTGCGTGTAATTTTACTCCTCCATTATCTAATGCTACCTCGTGCTAATATTAAAAAAAGTATATTCCCTCTTGTTCCTGTTGTAAGACACCTCTAGTTACCTCACTAGAATTAATGAAATATGATTAAGTCATTAATTTTGTCTAAAAAAAGAATGAACTTATAATTTAGCCCATATTTAAATGGAAAAGTTTTAAAAGAAAATTTTCAATAAAGACCCCTTGATCATATATAATTAAAAAGTGAACCTCAAAAATTCTAAATTTTCACTGCAGTTCAAGGGCTCTGAATTGAAATTAAAATGGAGAGTAAAATGGCAAAAGTAACCCTACTTCAATTGTTAACTCTGTGACTTGTTCATTCTTCTACGAAATGTTGTTAATTATATTTAGTCAAGGGGCCTTTATTGAAATTTTTTCTATTTTAAATATACATTACATTCACTCTCATAATTAATGAGTTTAAATAAGAATAATATTAAAAAAATTAATTAATAATCTACCAAATGCTTGTATTGAAGGTGGTCATCAATTTCAACTATAAGATGCCACATATAATAAAGACCGGAGGGAGTATAAACTACTAAAGCATCAAAAGCGATCTGTTATGTATAAATTAGTTTTTCGTTTTACTTTCTATACGACTTTCTATATAATATCAAAATATTTTAACCCTAGGCAAGTAATTATAATTATTATAATTATATTATAATTTATAATTATACCTAAATGGTGTCACGCCCTGAAAAATTATACTTGTATGTTGGTAAGTTTCATATAGCTACGTATGAGTAATTACCCTTTGAAATAAATCAAAAAGAATTTAAGGACCAATTAGAAGACCATCCATTTTAAATGATAAGTTATAGGGACTAAAATGAAAAGAAAAGTTTTGGGACTAAAGTTTTACTTTTTACTCTAATGTGAATCATTAGGCACTTCATTGAGAAATAAAAATTATTCAAAAATTCCACAGATGGATGACCATAGGATCTATTGACATATATCTCTGGATTGTACAATTACATTAAGGAAATATATAGATAAATTAAAGAAAGAATTTTGAAACTTATCTGTCATCAATTTTACCTTAAAAGTTGCCTAGGGTACTTAGCAGACAGTTGTTTGTAACTAGGTAACACTTTAGCTAACCTCATATTTTATCCCATTTAGTTTAGAAATTTTAATAATATTATTATGTATAGTTATTAGATTAAGAAAGATGATTTAAGTATTAATTAGGTTGTATTACTGTCTTATTGTCCTTGCAATGTTATTAATCTAACTAATTCCCTTTTTTAAAAAAATAATTTTAATTAAGATCAGTCAGCCAACAATATTAATGATAAAAGAGATTAATCCAACTAGGAAACACAATAACTACCACCAATCCTACTTTCAAGCATTTAAATATCAATAGTAAACATTTTATTGGCGTTTAGTTTTAAATTGCCGTCTTCCCAATTTTGTTAGGTAATGCATGTTCCTTCTTTTCTACTCGGTTAGTTTAAACAATAATTTTTCGAGGAGTAGCTTAGCTGTCATGCCCACATTAAAAGGTCGCAGAGGGCTTATTAGGTGGCACAGTTAGGGAAGCGGCTGGCAAATTAGAGGATTGGCGTGCCACATCAATGATGTATAACCCACCAATGAATGACTCATCTCTTTGAAAGTTGACGTGTCACATGAAGGAGTAATCTTCCCATAATGACTCAGAAATTAAAGTAACTTAACAAATTTATAATTGAATAATTTTGTGATTTTATTAAAGTTTGGAGCAGATTTAACTGCATGAATTAGCAGGTCAGTGGTGGGTTTTCTTATTCTTAGTTTGTATATAGAGGGTCCGTGTTCGAAACCCAGGGTGCAGAGAGGGAAATTTAATTTAATATTTTGCCACGGCCTCTTGAAATTACCATTTCGGTCCGTTTCATACCGAGAGGGCAAGAGTGAGAGACCTTCGATCCTTCATTCTTTCTCTTCCACCATTCTTTTTGATTTGTTGCCAGTGTGTGTGAATCGACCGTCCGCTACTGCAGGGTGTCACGGCTGCCGGATACTTCTTCTTTCTCTTGCTGTGCTGCATCGATCACTAAAGATCTTCTTCCCCTCTTCTGTTTGACGCTGCTGTGTTGATGTGACTGTGGGAGGGCCGATTCTCCATTTTCTTCTATGATGTGTGGGTTGTGTGTGGTAAGCTCGAAACTCCTCTTTTATTCTGCTTTTGTGTGAGTATCTGGGTAGGAAGCTTCGGTTCTTTATTCTTCCTTGTCTACTGTGCTGATTGGATGTGTGGAGTTGAAATTTCTTTTCCTTTCTAATGCTGTGACATTGAATATGGAAGAAAATTAATAGGCATTTTATAGCATTTTGTTAAATGTTACAAGGAGAACAAGATAATTTTAGATTCTGTTTTTCTTATATTTAAATAGATTCTTTGTAGAGACATGAGTTTGGGAAATATAATAAATTTATATGAATATTTAGGAATTGTCACACCCTAGTCCTAAGGGTGTGATCGACATGAAATATAAGATAGACTCATATTTCATAAGCCTTAATTAACTAGAAATTAAGCTAAAATATCAATATATAATTCATAAAGTTTGTAAAATCTTAAATATTTTATAGGAATTTTGGCAAAATCTTCCTTATAATTTGGACCTTCAAAATTTCTACAATAGCAAACCTGTCAGCCAATCCAACAAAGGAGACTATCCCACACTAGCAGTTTACATATTAGTAAAACAAAACTAGGTCTAATTAAGGCATACTGGAGCACTAAACTATAATTGTATAATATAATGTATATTTACATCAAACTAAATGTCAATATGTACTTACACTAACCAAAAGCAATAGTGCCTCTCAATGATTAGCAAGAGGTACAGGCTTAGCTATAATATATGAGACCAAAGAAATTTTTGAAGAGTAGTATTCCAATCAAAATTACAATTTAAAAAATTATGAAGATAGTAACTAGTAAATTTAATTCAAAATAACTCCATGAAATAATGAAACATATACTTAGATAATAGGTTTTCTCAATGATATACCCGTGAAATCAAAAAATGCTATTGGAATAACATAAATGTTTAAAATTTATACAGCTCATAAAATATAAAAATTTTCAATAATAGTACAATTCGATAAAATACTTTCAGAGAATTAATAGAGAAATGAAAATTTAAATTTAAATTTAGGAAGGCTTTATTAAAATGGATAACAAGCATGAACATACAGTCCACAAGAGTAAGTAACTAGTTAAACGTGGCTGAAAGCCACGAAACAAAAGCGGTAGGAGCCACAAATCAAGCATAAGCATGAAGCCTATGAAAACAAGCGTGAGTGCGATATTCACGAATAATCATCCCTCTATTCAACGTGCGTTGGCCATCGCATGGGGCTAGCACCTCCAATAAGCACCCTGCTAGCTAAATGTACCATAGCACGTCAAGAGCTAACGAAATAGCCATTAACATCTAGCATTTAAACTCAGTCCTTCTTAGTAAAATAATAACCGTCCCTCTATTCAACGTGCGTTGGCCATCGCATGGGGCTAGCACCTCCAATAAGCACCTTGCTAGCTAGATGTACCATGGCATGTCAAGAGCTAACGAAATAGCCATTAACATCTAGCATTCTAAACTCAGTCCTTCTTAGTAAAATCAAGCATGTATGAAGCAAGAAAATAATTTCAAGATGTTTTTTTTCAAATATTATTCAACATCATTTTCCTTTGTCCAAAATTATCATTGTTTCCTCCATACATGAATAATTGCATTAAATTTTTTTTATCAACATAGAATTCAGTAATTAAACTGCTTTAAAGAAAAATATATCATTATTTATCATATGTATGTTTCAACTATTACTTATCAACAATATAAACCATCAATAAAATCAAGACATTTTCTTTAATAAGACAACTGTTAGAAAAATAGGATTAACAATGATATTTGTACAATTTATAAAGGAATAATAGTAAAACTTAAATAAAGGATTTTATAAATACTTTATTAAAAGTTTATTTGGAACGCTACCCACTCATTTCCAAGTATCTCTATGGTTTTGCCCCTTTTTAAGCTTCTCACTTATATTTTGATAGTGCCACTAATTAATCACTTAATCAAACAAACCAACAAGCTAATAATACTAAACTTCACAAACTACAACTCAATCTATTTATGCTTTGTTTAAATATCCACAAAATTTTCTAAAACCTTATTTGTTCTTAAATCAACTGTCTCAAACTATGCTCTTTTCAAATTCTTTAAATCTGATAATAATAACCTCTATAATTTCCTTTAACATAAAACATAAGAAGCCAAGTTAAACTCATGCCTTTTTAAAACTTCACAATGTGCTATAAGCTACAAGTTCTTTTAATCTTTTCCTTTTCAAATATTTCAACTAATAACATTGTGAGTGTATCAAGGTTCAATTTGCAATAAGCATTCAATAAGGTCTCTAATATTTCCCCCAGTCCAATTCCAATCCTTTCTTAAAAATTTTAATAAGTACTTTAAGCACATTCCAGGTTAAATTAAGGAACCAGCATCTTGATTTAAAACAGACAATGACACTTTCATATCCAAATATAAATTCTTAAAATTTTCTCATTATCAATATAAACTTTTAAACCAGAATATAAATTTCCTCTTTCTCTGTTAATGAATTCTAATTTAATTATATTAATCAATTAACACCTTACTCTTCTCTTAGGCATTTAAGCAACCATCTTGTGAGCATTTAAATATTACAAGTCCAAATTTCATTAGTACCAATTTCTATTCGTCATTTAATTCTTGAGTCAAACTCCACCACTCTACTCAAACATCATCAATAATGCAAAACATTTCAAATAAATCCTAATCAAGTCTCTGAATCACATTTAGTAAAAGATTAAAATAAACAACCAAAAGCTTGAAATTTCCAATAGGTATTACACTTGCACATGTTCTTCCAAAATAAAAATGAAAATTTAACAACATCCATTCTCTCATTCTTCTCTCAAACATTTTTAGAATACCTTGAGGGCATTTTCCATTAACAAAGTCATAAGCCAAGCATCCAAGAAATTTCAACAACATCTAAGATTTAATTCCATAATTAAATTTTAGCTCAACCTCTTAATTAAATAACTTCTAGAACTAACCAAAGCAATACCCTAATCCTTCCTAAAAATGCAACAGCATCAATGAAAAACAAGGACTATATCAATCGACTAGAGGAGGGAAAAGATGATTCGGTGCTGTTATAGAACTTGAAAAGGAAGGAGAAAACCAACCACTCACCTCAAACGAAATAGTAGTAGCCACCCCTATGAATCAGCCCATGATGACCGACGCTGCAGAAGAAGAAGAAAAGATCTTCAGCGTGCTATACAAAAGAGAAGGAGGAAGACCAACAATTTTTTTTACCAGCAAAAGAAGGAATCAAGCTACCATATGCACTCGAGAAACTTTCTACAGTTGAGGAGGATGAAAAATTAAAAGATGAAGACACACACAACCCCTACCTCCGTCGGTCACAAATCAGAGAAGAAATAGGGAAGAGATCCAGCCTCTCAACTTGATAGAAAGGGACGGATGGCAAAGGGGGAAAGGAACAAACGACTTACTAGTAGTGGGGAGACGAACACATGACGACAAGGGTGAAGCCAGTGAGAGTAAATGGAAGAAAAATAGAGAAAATACGAGCTAGCTCTCTCTCACTCTGTTTTGCATAATGACTTACAAAGAAGAGGAGGAATTTGGATAAAGAAGACCATGGGAAAATTACAAAATAATACCCATTTGTTTCTTTTTTTATAATATTTTTATAACAAGAAGCAAGGGGCACTTTAGTAATTTCTTATATAAAAGAAAATAAAACTAACCTTTGGCTTAAGTAAGATTTGAACTCTAAACTTTCATCTAAGTGACAAGTATAAACTCCACTTGGCCAATACTCCTCATGTGCTATAAATTAAATTAATTAAAATATTAATAGGAAAGGAAAATCATTTAATTTAAATTTTTGGGTCATTTAATTATGTTTCTTCTTTAAGTCTATATGTAGTAAAGTAATTGACCCAACAAAATTGTCAAGATTGTAAAGCCGAATTGTCTTAATTTTGCATGAACTTGAGATGTATTTTTCGCCCGCATTCTTTAACATAATGGTACACCTAACTATTCACCTGGTTAGAGAGATACAAATGTGTAGCCTAATTTTCTTCATATGGTTGAGGGTTACATGAAGATACTAAAGGGGCATGTGAAAAATCAAAATCAACTTGAAGATTGCATTGTTGAATGATACATTTGTGAGGAGGTAGTTGAATTTTATAATGAGTACTTATTAAATGTCAACCATATTAGGCTTCCAACTTCTCAACATGATGGTAAAACTGATAGGGAAGGAATTGGCACAGAAACCAAATAAAAAGAGAAAATTTTTATTTTTATTTCAAGTCTGAACTGCCTCTTACAGCAAAGCTAGTTCTATTTATAGTGCTAGGACTCTGAACGAAACAGGCAAGCAACTAAGATGTTACAAGCGTAAATGCTAGATGTTTTGCTAGCTTAATGAAGGTGTAAATGGAACAACCTTTTCGCTTCATTTCTGTAGCTCTCATGCGTCAGTTTTTATGTCTGTTTCAATCCGTTTCATCCTCCCCGAGTTCAGTAGAACTCGCCCTCGAGTCATATTCAACATCATGATCAATGTAAGGAGATAGATTAGTAACATTAAAGGTGGCAAATACACCATAAGAACCAGGTAATTCCACCTTGTAAGTATTGTTGTTGATCTTTTGCACTATCTCGAATGGACCATTAGCTCTTAGGGACAACTTGGTGTTTGGCTGTTTAGAAATCATTCCTTTCGTAGATATATCCAAACTAAGTCTCCTACCTTAAAAGTCTAATATTTTCTATGCTTGTCACGTTGAGCCTTGTATCTCAAATTCTGCTTTTAGATTTGCTCGCGGACTTGCTCATGCAACTTCTTAATTTCCTTAACCCTTTAGTTAGCATCAGATCTATATTGCTGCTTATCAAGTGAAAGGGTCAAGTCTAGTGAACTAAGGGGACGCACTAGTGCAAAAACATATTTCGCGACATTTGAAAACCACCTTTCGCGACACAAGAAGCGGTGTAGTAGAAACGGGTGTAGTTGTAAGTTTACAGCTTTCGCGATGGTTAGATGGAGTAATGTAGAGAAAAATATAAACTTTTTGTGACAGTTATAATAACAACTGTCATGAAATGATGTCTGAGAAGGACAAATCAACGGACCTTTTCGCAACAGTTGTCACACTGTCGCAAAAAGTGGACATTTTCGCGACAGTTGTCACACAATTGTCGTAAAAAGTGTGGCTTTTCGCGACACTTGTTACCACAACTATGGCGAAAAGTGTTATTTTTCACGACAGTTTAATACACAACTGTCGAGAAAAGTAACATTTTACCACAATTTTACATACAACTGTCACGGTATATATCTTTTTAAAAAAACGCGTATTTTGTATGCTTTAAATCCCTTACTTACAAAAGCCTGCATTTAAACATAAACAACATTCCAAAGACAATTTCAAATATATCCATTAAAATTTCTACATATCCAATAGAATCATCTATCCAATTATCTACTCTAACTTATCAATTCTAAAAAGTAAGTAGACCACATATTCCGTATATGCCTCAGCTCTTGTCTGGAAAATGGCTCTAAACTGTTATAATGCTGCATATCAATAAAAATATGTGCATGCATATTAATTCAAGTATAGGTAAAGTGTAAAATATAAATTACTTTTAACAAATTATTACCTTATCAAATGAGTGGGTAATGCCTTGAGTGATGATTTTGTACATGAAAATCATCACATAATAACCACACTCGACACTTCCTGGTTGTCGAGCACACTGTAAAAAAAATTAAAATCAATTTAATTCATCAAATCAATATTATAATCTTTATTCTAATTTGAAAAAGAATTTAAAATACTTACTTGTATACGCACCCACTTGATTTCATTTTTTTTTCTTGTCAACTATATCCCCCATCCTCCAATAACGATGTAAAGATCTATTTTTCAAATATAAACACTTAGAATATATTAAAAAGATGCTAATAATATCACAAAATAATTATTTAAAAAACTTACGATTCAAACAATGACTTCATATTGTCGCTTACTTCCCATTGTAATGAACAAAACCAATATATAGTATTTTCACGGGGACAGATAATAGGAAGCATCCAATGATTGCTACAAAATATTAGTTTATATTAATATCACATAATTATACAAATATTTTATAAATAGAGAGATGAATAGGATGTTTGATACCTTTCAACAATTGGTGCAAAAAAACACCTCTTCTTTAGCTTATTCATCGCACTTCCAATATAAGATGCTTTTTGATTCAATTTCCCAACTGATGTTAAGAGTGGGGATAAGAATCCATAATAACGAATGACATCAAGTTGGATGCACATTTTGTGGAGGAACCTTTAATAATAACAAAAATATTAACAATAAATAAAAGTAAGAAATATTAAATTAGAAATAAAAATAAACACTTACATGATAAAAACTTGTATTATTGATACTCCAACCACTCCATAATAACGAGAGCATTAATATCATTTCTGGTGACTTGAAAGGTAATATCCTTCCCAACAATGTCTTCACTTACTTGTATTTCATCAGTAAATTCATTCATATCAACAATCATGGAAGCTAACTGTTTCAAGTCATCTCGAATCGGTTGGGGATTGGAACCCAGTGATTCTTTTGATTGTTGAAGTTCCTAATTAATATATAATCAAAATGAGAAATATCTACCATATTAATTAAGAAATATTGAAAATTATAAAGTTTTCATACCTCTTCAGTAACTTGTTGAACAAGCCTTCTCAACTAAATAATAAAAGTTTGTTGAGCTTGTCCTACTGTTTGCACCTCCTCAGTAGGAAATAACACAGGAGCATTAGCATCCACGACCACTTCAACAATTATCTTTACTTGATTATCTTGTAACTTCTGGTGGTAGGCTATAGTTGAATAGTTACACAATTTTCCATATGCAACTATACGTTTTACAGGATCTTCCAAATAAATTATGCACGGCAATCCTTGATCTGAAAAGTTAGGATCATACTCTGGTTGTGGAACACCACCAAATTTTTATGCTTGTTGAGATTGCATATGCATGGAACTGATCATTGATTGCATTTCCATCATCAAACTTGATTTGCATTCCGCTATCATCTTTTCCACTTGGTGTATTGGCACACTATTAGAGGGTGGTGGTCTAAAATATTGTCTTATACCCACACCTTTTGGAACTCCCCTAACACGGTCGGGATGTTCTTCACTCCCTAAGGCTGTGGTCAGTATATCCTTCCTGCCAGTAGATGTAAAGGTACCCTGAGAGGCTGCTTCTGTAAGAGAATCCTAAAATATGCAAGCAAGCAATGCAATTAGTATATTTAAATCTTATAATCTAGATGTTAACTATTAAAATACTTACAATCTTCGCAGCCACTTCTCTAGCTTCACTAGAAATAAACTCTCCCTTTTTATTCATTCGCCCTCTCTTCCACGCTTCAGCACGACTAATAGGAGATGGAGGGGAAATATCTCTAATATCATCAACCCCTACTGCTTGTTTTTTAGCTTCCCACTTCTCCTGAAGCATTATATCATAAACATGTTTATATCCTCCTCGAGACATGGTATGATTGTATGGGTTTTTCTTACAACGCTCTTGACCCTTTTTACTTTTTTCCTATTAAAAAACACAATAAGAAATATTTATTAATAATAAAAATTTAATAAGAACAATTGAATATTTATTTTTCTTTAACTTACCAAAAATTTAGGATCATATCTACTTTCAACAAATTTTATCCATGTCTCATAATCAATGAAAGGATACTTATCCCATGGTTGTTGTTTGTTGGTATCATAGTCACTACCATCTTCATTTTCACTGTCAACCTTAGGAAACACATAATCTCTTGTAAGTTTGGATTTGAAATCCCTCCATCGGCTTGCAGCATATGAAAGCCACTTGTGCTTGAAAGTGTCAGGTATGTCATAAGTAATCTGTAAAATAACAAATGCTAACAATGAATTTAGTAACAACAAATAATTCGATATAATAAAAAATAATAACTTTAAAAAGCAAAGATGAATTTATTAACAATTAGAAATGTACCCGTATAGTGTCCCAAACTTCATCTCTTTCACTTTCTTTTACATTATCCCATTCATCCTCCAGGATGCTAATCTTTTGATGCGCTACAAGTCCAACGTAACTTTTAAAAAGATTTCCTTTTTTCCTATGAGTTGGCTCACCTGTCTCATCAAAATCAAGGTGAATCTTCCCATCAATTTGGGCTAACTTAGTAAGTCGTGTGGTTCCTCTTCTACTTTTTTTGGGCTTGTCTTTGTTAGTGCAAGTGCTTGATACATTCTCCATATTTCTCCTAAAACAAACAAGATAATAAAGTTAGTATAATATAATAAATTTAATTAAACTATTTAAAAATAAAAGCATAAACCTTTATAATGCTATTCTAATACTATAATATTAATTACCATTATAATTGTATTTTAATTTTCCATAAACCTTCATCATGATCAGTTCTCACATCATATACATTATCTTCTTCATCTTCAACATCTAACACAGGCTGCGCTGGCATAAAAGGTGGGATCTCATCAATATCAAAACTTGATTCATCATTA